CGTCTTCAGCAACAAATAGATTGTCCCCGGTTTGATGAGCATCATATAATGGAGCGTCGTCAAACACTTCAAATGCCACCTCAGCGCGAGAGCAGTCGATGACGGCCTTATTAGCAGAGAGAAAATCCCAGCCCAAAATGAGGTCATGGGAGTAAGAATCCAACACTAGCAATTCAACGACATAAATGAGGCCATCAATCGTGATGCGAGCAGTACAGGCAGCGGCCTGTGTGACATCATCTGCGCTGGCTGTACGAAGTGATATACTTGCTAGTGGCGTCATAACTTTTTTAAGCAAGCGGCAGAGTCTACCACTTATCATTGAAACTGTGGCACCAGTATCGACAAGAGCGAGTGCAGCGACGCCGTCCACATGTACGTCCAGAACATTCGTTGGTGAAGTGAGAGGCCTTGGTCTTTTCACTGGCGACGCAGTTCCTGCCTCTGGAACTGCGGCAATTAGTTTTCCCGCTCCGGCGATGAAGGACGACGACACATCGGTGATGGCGAGCAGCGTCGAGGTGATGGCGAGCGGCTGTTAACAGGAGGGCGGTGGTCGGCGTACGATGACGTCTGGTCGGGGGCTGAGAGCCTGTGAACGAAGGGCGCGGTGGCACATAAAGGGCAGGTTCGAAGGTCTGGTCGTAGCTCTGGCGGTAGACAGGGACGGGCCGACGGCAGTATCGCGCTATGTGGCCAGGTAGCCCACAGCAAAGCATATTGGGCGATTGTCGAGTGTACGCCATTGTCCACTACTCTGGACGGACACTGGCTGAGCAAACCGAGGAGTGGGTCGCAGCGGCACGGCTGAGGGAAGTGACGTAAAAGTCTGAAGAGGTGGTCGAGCCGCTACTTCAGCATAGCTTAGAGGTGCATTTACCTCGGCACAGGCAACAGGGCTCGGCAATGATGAAGTGTCAGGGGCAGATGGCAGAGCCGCGCAAACTTGCTCCTGGATGACCTGGCGGATGTTTGCTGGCAGAGGTGACGGTGGTTGGCCGGCTGTTGATAGCAGCGATAGCTGACGAGCGACCTCAGCACGAACAAACTCCTTGATCTGCGATAGCAGCGACTGAAGGTCAGATGTAATGGTCAGGCTTGAGAGGGTGTCATCCGGGGCGTCAGGGCGTCCCGTGAGAAGACGCTGTCGTCGCAGCTCGTCGAAGCTCTGACACAACTCGATGACCTCAGAGACAGTGACAGGGTTCTTGGAGAGCAGCATTTGAAAGGCGTCGTCGGAAATGCCTTTCATGATATGTCGCACCTTGTCAGTTTCTGCCATCGACGGGTCGACACGCTGGCAGAGGTCGAGGATGTTCTCTATGTAGCTGGTGAACGTCTCACCAGATTGTTGGGACCGGCCTCGTAGGCATCGTTCTGCACGAAGTTTGCGCACACCAGCGCGTCCAAAAACATCTGCGATGCAGGTTTTGAAGGTAGTCCAAGTGGGGATATCCGCCTCATGGTTTCTGTACCATAGCTGGGCAACATCCGTTAAATAAAACATCACGGTACCAAGCTTTGTGGGATCGCCCCATTTGTTAGTAGCGCTGGCTCGTTCATAAGATTCCAGTCAATCCGCAACGTCTTTCTTGTAGGTGCCGCTGAAGATGTCGGGTTCTCGCGAGAACTAGGCGCCAGGACAGCTCCTGCATGGCGAGGCCAGTGGGGGTGTGAAGACAGCGTCAACAGGCATGACGGACGGCAGCTTTCGGCTACGCAGTTCCAGAACTCGGGAAGACCGCAGCACTCTCCACCAAAATACAATGTAAATGCAAGGTCAAAAGCGGTATCAGCGTCGGTACAGAAGCAGCAAGAGCTAGCCGGATGTACGGGCAGCGTCGCAGCAGCAACCAAGCAGTCCTAACTCGTGTCGATGTCGCTGCAGTAGTGGGCATTCCTCTTCACTACAGTTTAAACAGCGCGTTACATGTCAAGCGGTAAACGTTCGCTCTCGTCTTGTGTGTATTGTTTTCGTGCGTCATTTGTGCGTGAGCAGCGCGCTGCGCGTTTCCATCTGCTTGCCGTTCTCAGTGTGACATTCCAAGTTGTTGCTGTCGAATTCATTGCTTCGCGCTTGCGGCGAAACCGTGACATTTTTTTACGTATTTACTGCCTCTAGTCTACCGCTGCGTGCCCTCGGAGCTCGTAGATCGCTATCGCGTCACCGCGACCGCGGTTTTGTGCGCAGCGATTGCGGAAAACAGTAGTTCATTTTACAATCCCCATGCGCTTGGCTGCGCACCCGCCTTCAGAACTAAGTCATTTTATGCCATCTACGATAGCATATGCTGCAGTTTTGTCTGCAGAGTTAGAGGAAAGAAGCGTTGCTTTGACTGGTTGAGCGCACATTTTCAGGGTTCTGTGGGTTACATGGTCTCCATACAGGAACGTGTCAAGAGTGACCGCGGTTTCGTCCACAGCGGTTGTCTCGAACGACAATCACACGCACTGTAGAAGACAGTGTTTGCGCCAGTCCCAGGCGTACTTCTGAAGCTTCGAGCACGCCACTGTCTGTCTTCGTTCGACAGTTTCCGTACTAAACTTCGTATCACCCGCCGCGATTAGGAAATGTGTTCGAACATTCGAATTGAGGCCCAATGAACTTAGTGGAACCTGGCTGGGGAATTCCAATAATTCGTATCTGCCGCGGTTTCGTCTCACTGGGATTGTACTGTACGTTTACATGAACGCTCTCTTAAACTCATTTTTAACAAAATGGGGTAAGTTCGAAAAGCCTGGAATGGAATTGAGCTGTGTTTTTGTCGATGCGGCTAGATTATGCACAGAAATTTCGATTTCCAGGAGATTTTCATGACAACCAACCGTACAAACGAAGAAAGGGTCGAAATCCGGAAGTCTCCCGTCCAATCCGGGAGACTTGGCAGGTATGCAATGACTGCTTACGGCATGATGAACATAGCCACATTTTCGTGGTAAGCTAGCTATAATCTGAAATTCAAGCAACAGGTTTACCAGTAACCAAGTATCAAACTTGTCAAGCACAATCTGCATGTTTAGCTTTTAGAAGCTTTTTATAATATGGCTTAAAGGATCTTTCTAGAAAGGGCCTAGTTGATAGATCTACGTCTGTTAAAAAAGAAACAGCCATATATGGCCCCATAGTCTCCAACCTGATTTTTCAGACACCCGATTTTTTAATCCCATCACTGCCATAGCACCACCATGCACTCCACAGATGTATAACAACATTCACAACACCAACCAAAAGTTTCAGACACTCTGAAACCCTTCTCGTTGCAATTTTCCAGACTTTCTTTTGTTAGCAATCTCGTTCCAATTTTTCAGACTTTCTTTTGTTAGCAAGCAAAAATAGACAAAAACACTAACAAAATCGCTGCCATTTTCTTTTTCTGCAGCGTTGAACCCACGATGCACGTGTACCATCAGCTGGCTTACTAACTCACTTACAGTGTCACATGTGGTTGTCGTTGCAGCTTCAACGAACCATAGAGGTTCATATTATAGACGTTTGCTATTAGATAGTATTCAATCAGGTAATAGAAAAATGCGCGGAATACAGCCAACCCCTATTCAACTAGTTCTAAACTAAACGGACCCCTCGTGGTGCTTTCTGCTGTTTAAGTCAAGAATGTTGACCTGCCTGTACAGCAATGTGGCGCCCCGCAGAAACTGATTGACCAGTTTTTCAGTCTTTTGGTAAATAAAGTTACAGTTTTGCTCGAGTCCTCATTCTTCGGACTCTTATCTCGGCCTGTTAAGGGCCTGAAAAGTCGATCGGCGACTGTAAAGGCATCGTATCTCAACGTTCAGCCTTGTGGATACTCTGATGATGATGGGCCGCAGAAAAGATACTAACTATGTATGTTTTACAACTACAACTGTTACAACAGTTTGTGTGTTTTATACAAGTAAATACTAGAGAAGCTTTATTGTACAATGTGAATAGGCTACCAGCACAGTCAGAAAGACCCACACTATCTTGAAAGCATCAATGAAGTCTGACAAATTAACAGAATACACCAAGCGTGTATAGTAACCAAGCCATCTCAATACCATAAATCAAGGCGTTCGAGAGATGGATCCTCCCCTTCACATCCACCCCACACAAACACACATCAGCCCCTACATAACTTGCATTCTGCTATATTTAGAACCCACTCAATCTATAAAACCCCGAAAAAAGAAGCCAGCGTGTGCTTATTCATGCAACACACTGTGCTGGCACTCATAGAGATGTAGGTAATACTGGCCCCAAAACACAATTCAGGTAAACAGATGATGACCTTTGGCACAGTTGGGGAAATAATGCAGTAGATGGGAACAGCAAAAAGCCGACTAAAGTTCGCAGCAGATCCATGAAGTGAATGCGGATGATGGGGCGAAGCAGTATGCATCAGATCACAAATTGTGGCTTTCTATTTTGTTCTAGGTTAACAGCCTTTTATTATGTAGTTAACCTTTTGTTCTGTCATATGCTTTGATTAATGGGTGGTTAAATGTCGGCATTTTTACGATGTTGTGGTCTTTTTTTTTTTAACCATTCGCACACTATGTACGCTCTGTAGATGGTACTGCGCACAGGTGTTTTACACTCGTGCTTCGATTAAGGGTTGAAAACAAGCCTAGACAACAACGGTTCTTGTGCGACTCTATGGTGCTTCGCCTCTACAAGAATTGTTGAAAAATGGTGCAGGTGGCACAGCTGGGCCACCACTGCAACTGCACTATCCTTTACTGCTTTCTTAAAAGCACAACAACTGCAAGTGGGGCGAACTTGAAGATATATTTTTCTGCTAGACGATCTACAGAACACCAAGACGCATTTATAAGGCACCAAGATTGAAAGAAACATCAGCAAGCAATCCAGTAATCTGGTATTACGCAAATGTCACTGGTTTTACTAGCCAACCGTACAAACTAATCTAGACCCATACCGATTGAATCCAAAGAAGCAGCAATAGCGCAGTCACAGAATTCGATACCCTTTCCCAGATCAGCAACAACTCATTCCTCACCTGCCATCTTCGGCAACATATTTCATGATGTTGCCTGGTTTGAGGTCCCTGTGAATGATGTTGTTGTCGCGCAGGTGTTTCATGCCTGCACCTGTGAGCACAGACAAAAGAAATGTCAATAAAGCTCATTTATGCACAACAGATGCCATCATAGTCTATATCGATTTCGAAAAAAAACGTGCAGTGGCTGTAAAACAAGTACACTGATGTACACTGAGGTAAACAAGTACACTACCCTGCACTTATTTTCAGCGAGAATGAAAGCCACTGCCGCGGTGCATGAATTTCTATGCAGGAGGTGTGATTGTAGCTTTTGTAACTTGTCTATTGAGATGCACACAAACAAATCCACAATGTTAGATACTAATAAATTACAGCTTTCAATCTTCCCACTGCCTTTGCATGAGATTAGCACAATTACTTAATATAGTAACAGGCATTTGAATGCTTCAAGCATTTGTTTACTGTTCTCTTGACAACTTCAATGAACTCAGCATTTGGTTAATCTCAGCATTTTTTTTTTTTCAGTCATGAGAAATTTAATCAAATGAGGTTTCACTGCATATTCCTACAGCTTCGGTGATGTTCACTTTTTAAATGCACTTCATGCCAGTTACTACAGCCTCTGCTCCCTGGCTTGTGGTTGCATCTAACAATACTTCGCTTAACACTGAAATGCCAACACGAATTACATGAGCATGAAGCCTGAACAAGCCTGTTGTCTCCGTGGCATCGTTGAAGGCACAAGGTGTTATAAAAGAAGGATAATTTACTTTAACTCTGAAGAACGAACATGCCACACAGGCTATACACAAATGCCACACAGGCTAACTGTGCGGCAGTCTCTTTGTCAACGTCGTCCTCTTGCTTCATGCTGCAACACGCGCATCTCGTGGTGTTCCTAGCAATATGTCACCATTTGGCCATGCTGAAAAGCTTAATGGCCTCGTTAAGGCCGTCAGGACAAAGTTCTTCACTGATTCTACATAAAAGTGCTCGACCAGCCTATTCAACTGCTTACTAAATGACACATCATAGGAACAACATTCGGAACCAAAAAAAAACCTACATTGACGCGTAAAACTTTTCATGACATGCAGAAGTTCCCCCATTTGTAGCGTGAAACTTTCCAAGAAAATGTGCTTTCCTTGACTGGCTTAACCTTGAGGAAAGCCACAACACGCATGATACCGGTGTCCTCTTTTCTAGACTTCAGCTTCGACGCTTGGTCTGGCCCGGGCTTTGACCTGTCTGCGGCAATTCTTCTTTCATTTTTGCTCTGACATTACCCATCTCCATGGTGTCGTCTGATTCTGTTGGCTTCAGCTCGTTATCTTTCTTTCGCTTGGTCCGGCGCTGTTTGTTCTCCTTTTTTTTCCTTGAGGTGGGTCTCCTCCTGAGCTCCATCCTCAGTAGTGGTCATGTTGGACTCGGTGGTCATGGAGAGGCAATAGTAACTGTCTAAAAGCAGCTATGACTTCGTCCCTTCACTCCACCCAGGACTGCTGCCATATGCCTTCGTATCTACACCATGCAGCGGCAGCATTCCAAGGCAGTCTATAGCCATGCACTGTTTGTTTTGGTCCACCTAGGCTTCGTGATCTCCTAGAGTGTTGACAGTCGCCACCCATTCGTCGGCGTCTTCCTGGAAGCCGTGGCACTGCAGTAGTTCGAAGGCAGCCAGTGATGGTGATACAGTCGGCAGACCTCTGAAGAAAGACGACACCACGCAGCCGAGTTGGTATGAGAGCGCTGCGAGGATTTACGAGAGATTTCTGCAGCTCTCAGGTGAGCTCTCTTCATGGTCTTGGGAGGTGGCTGCGGCCTATGCAGTATCGATCGTGTACAGTCCTGTCAAGGCCACACGAAACAGCACACAAGTCGACGCTTTCAAGGAGTTGACCGCTACATGGAGTCGCGTGATGGTGCGGAAAAACTCAGAGGCTTCTTTGGCATATAGAGTCAGTGGTGACATTTACACATAAGGTGTAGTCCTCGATTATCGCACTCACTGCAGTGGTACCCTTGGCTGAGAGAGATGGAACAGCACCCCTAAGCAGCTGCGGTGCCGATAAAGTACTGAGTGAGGCGCTGCCGCAACGGGAAGCATGAATGGCATTGAAGGGGAGCAGTAGGACTGCACTGCATGGCATCGCTGGATAAGCCTGCCCTCAAGTCATCGAGAAGGCCTGAACGTCATCCTCGCATGGTGGCATTGGTGCTCCCGGCTGTGGGAGGGCTGTCAACTCCACGGTTGCGGTACCATGAACAGCATTCGCGAGAAGGAAAGCCCACAGAAGTGGTGACCCAAGGGAACTCACTTCCGGTTTGTAGTTTGTATACTGTGCCATTGTAGAGGAAGCGAGAGAGAACTAAAAGACAACGCCCATACACAGGGTCAGCTGTTCTTATCCTGACCTCGTCCTTCTCATCTTCCACTAGCGCTCGAACCCTTGTGTTACACTTTGTCATGACACCGTTGTACAGATGCAAAACAGCAAGATGCACCCTCATGGTTTAGCAGAGGATATAGCTCCACTGCAACGGGAGTCTCATACACTATGTAAATAGCTGTGAAAATGTAAACATAGACGTTTGGGTCATCTGTTTCCACCTCCTTTGTGTGAATCTCGACAGACCCAGACCCCCCAGTGAATCTCGTCAGACCCAAACCCACCTCCCCCGTTCACTGCCAAGGATTGCTCAGAACAGCGGCTAGCGATTTAGCGCATTGGCACTCGAAGATGAGATACCAAGCGCAGTGCGCACAGATTTTTTGTTATTGTAGCTACACATTTCGCGCATCGTCACCGAACACTGCCGCCAAGTGCATCATGCGCCAGCTGCTCTGTCCCCGCGACCACGCACTTTGCGGGCATATGGAGTGCTGTCAATAAGCTCTAGTGATGCGATTTATACATGCTTGGAGCCAAGATTGGTATCGCCGGGAGTGTCTATGTTTCGAAACGATGAAAGCCTTGTAAAAGAAAGTTTCCACGGCAAGCCACACGATGACGCATTTCACAGATAGAGTGGCGAAAGAACATGTAAGGAACAGGGGTACGAATTCTTATTTGCCAACTTGTGTCATTAAGCGGGCAGACTGGTCTTAGACTTTTTTTTGTTTATTTTTTCAGTGATCTTGATCAAACTGCACAGGATTATACAGTTTTTTCTGCTTATTTCAAATATTTAATTAGTTTTCCTGTAACTCATCTTAAGTTCACCCCCTATTGTTTAAGGCCACCATAGAAAAAAAAGTGCTTATCTAAAAGTGATATTTAAGATATGCCAACATAGACCAATGACTATAGATTGAAAGTATGCATGATTATTTTTTTTAGTTTTTAGGCCTTTGTTAATTATTTTACAGCAAAATGAACTATCCATTTTCAGAAGCAGTTGAAATTGTGTTACAATTTTGATGAGTAATGAATTAAAAAGGCTTGTGCTCTAAATTATGCTCCCGTACTTGCATTCTACACACATACAGGTTTCAATTGCAAAAATTATTATTGTTGTACCTGCCCTAGCTGCAGAGATATTGAGGCCTCAATAGTGAACAGTCATAAATTCACTTTTTTGAGAAAAATGGAAAAAACTGAGAACACACAGCTTCTTCAAAAAGCAACAATCATGGTGCAAACGTTTTGCAATCCTCATAAAGATGCCCATAAATTCGTAGCAGAGCTTCTAACACAGGTGCCGGCAAATTATGAAGAAGCCTCGAAGTCGGTTCCCCATTTTTTTGCATGTTCTGCATGTTAACAGCACCAAGAATCTGGACAGTTAGAATGACATTACACAAAAATTACCACTTCTTGGTGTGTGTAAATTTGTAGAGATATAGAAAAATACTTGCAGAAACCAAATACGTCAATTTTAAAAAATGAATTTTTTTTTCACTTTTTGGTCCCAAAGACCAGTCTGACCCCCTTACATTAACTGCTTAAAAAAATTCCTGTGGCACAAGGTTTCTGAACTGTTTGTTATTTGAAATGAAGGCATAGGCTGTCATGATGTGTTTCTGATGCAATGAACTTCTCTATGGAAAAAAATTGTTCAGGGATTATTTATAGTCAAGAAGTACTTAATTACGATGATGACAGCTTGAACACAATAAAAAGGATGTGTAACCATTTCAGTATATGGCCTTATTAATTAGTACAATTTTTTTCTGTCATGCCTATCACACTACTCCTTCATACAGAGAACTTAGTCTGAAATTTGCATTAGTTCTTTGTAGATTGAAAAAGAAGGTATGGAAAAAAAGGGGGGGTGGGGAGGAGCAGAAAAGGCACACTGGGCCGAGGCCGCATGTTTGATAAGTCAAATGTCACAAAGCAAACTAAATATATCACCATTTTTTGGTGTTTAGAAACGTTGAAGAGAAGGTGAAAGTTCCCAGATTTTTCAATACTGTTTTTTTGGCACTGTGCACAGCTCGTGGAGCACATATCTTGGCAACCACTTCAGAGACTTTGATTCTGTTTATTTTGTAACACTCCTTGAACAGTACTTCAGGGGGATGCGATCTTGTTTTTTCGTTTTAGTTCTTCAATAATTTTTCGTAGGGCTTCTCGTTTGTAGTCTAAGTCTTCTCATTGCAGTATTGCTAGGAAAAAGATTAACTACAAGTTTTAGTGTTGCAAAAAAATTATTTTAAAAGTGCAGCCCCCTGGAGCATAAATTTGACTGTGCGAACAGTAATTACCAACTATTTATGTCATTTTATAATCCTCCAGCTCCTGCATGAGGTTCAATGAAGGTATAATTTGCCTCTCATCAAGTTTTTGCAGTGTTGCCTCGAAATTTTTATGGTAGCACTGTGCGGCCTTTCTTGAGTCTGTGCCAATATTCATCAAGATCCAACCAGAAACAAAAAAGTTGGTTTTCAAAGGCGTCCCCCCTTAGCATGCATTGACATCGCACAGTACAGGGGCCTCTGCCATTTTGCCTATATCGAAATGCGACCGCTGTGGCCGGAATTGATCCTTCGGGTCAGCAGCCAAGCGCCGTAGCCACTGTTACACTGTAGCTGACAGCGACAAAACGAAATCGGAGTACTCAGAAAGACGCAGAATAGACCTACTGAGGTCACGGAGAACGCCGAGGAAGTCGTACTCTTCGAGTCCATAGCTGTTGGCTGGGTCGTCCAGGATGGTGAACAGGCTTCCGCCAGTGCACAGCTCCATCACCAGCACCTTGCTGTGGTTCTCCACCTGATAGCCAAAGCATGTACGGAGCCATTGAAAAGGTTTGTAGACAGTTTATATCAGGGTTAAAGTGAAACAACTAATGGGGCTTAGCAATCATTTTGGCCTTGAAGAATCCAAGCAGCTTTTCCCAAGTGACCCTGCACACTATAGAGCGTAGCAGCGGAACTTCTGGTTGCCAGTCTGATAAATTACCGCATTTACTCAAAAAGAGGTCGGGCACGAATATAGGTCGACCCCTTACTTATAGTGTTCTACGAGAAAAAAAAATATTCAAATACTATAGGTCTGCTTGTGTTTTTTTTTTTCTTTAAAAAATAGAAAAACTGAGACATAGCACACCTTTATTTACATAACTTAGTGCCCTAATCACTGCCGAGGCCGTCATCTTGTAAGATGCGCAAAATGTCATCTTATTTTTCGCAAGCCGCTTCCCAAATGATGACGTTCTCGCTGCCGTCGCTGCTGATCGCACGGCCGCGAAAAGCAAGATGCCGTCCGTTGCACACCAACAGATGGTCCCGCTGCTTTCGCCAACCCTGAATCAACTTTTCATTTACACAGAACTCACACTGCACGACACAATTGCTCAAGTCTTTGGCAAAAAGTATCACTTGGTGCTTGAGGTCACCTGTGTAGCTTTGCGACGTGACATCCTCGCAACCACGCACAAGTAATGGTGGTGGTGTTTAGAAGATGAAAAAGGCGCCTAATTTCTGCAGCCTGGCACAGTGCCTAATGCAAATGCGAACCGTCACCCCGTCACACAGATCATACACAAGCAAAGCGCGACACAGCGAGGCCTCAGCCTTAGGCCAGTGCGGCTGCGTGCCAGAAGGCAGTATCGGAAACACGGCTAGTGGGCTAGGGACTTCACGGCCTATACCTAGGGAAATTGTGGTTTTCATCGCAGACATGGCGGGGCGGCTGCATTTCGTGGAGGCTTTGAAAAGGCGGCACGAGGCTATCGCATCAATCACTTTTTTCTCAATTACTCAGGCAGTCGGAAAGAAGAGATTGATTGATTTGTGGGGTTTAACGTCCCAAAACCACCATTTGATTATGAGAGACGCCGTAGTGGAGGGCTCCGGAAATTTTGACCACCTGGGGTTCTTTAACGTGCACCCAAATCTGAGTACACGGGCCTACAACATTTCCGCCTCCATCGGAAATGCAGCCGCCGCAGCCGGGAATCGAACCCGCGACCTGCGGGTCAGCAGCCGAGTACCTTAGCCACTAGACCACCGCGGCGGGGCATCGAAAAGAAGAGAGGGGGGAGGTCTTTATTCCATATATAATGGCATATAGCGTGCATATGCAGCAAGAACCGTTTGAGGAACACCGGGCGCGGAAGTTGAATGCTATTAGTTCGGTGCTTTTGGTTGGTTTGATCATGAATATAGGTCGAGATTCTTTGGTCAAGAATATAGGTCGATAGCTAGTTATGAACAACATTTTCGGGGAAAGAAAAAGGGTCGACCTATATTCGAATAAATACGGTAGGCTATGAAATGTCCAAACGTCTAAAAATTGTGGTAGATTTGACCACCATAGGTTCATTATTAGCTGCTAAAATCAAAGTCAAAAGTTTCATTTCGAAGTTTCCTGCCGATATCTCCAGTGTCATGTCACAAATTTTAGCGTCCTTTTTTTATATTTTGGCCACAATGGTTCAAATAAATTTACTAAAACTTGGTATTTTGAGTTTCCGGCTTTCTCAGATGACAATGTACTTCATCTCTACTAATGAGTAACTACGCAGGCCCTAGTAGACACTGTCAAAATCTAGGATCTCACAGCAACTAGAGCAGTAACTTCAAGGTGCCATTGCCAGCCATGTTTTCTTTTTGCGTGTTTTGTGGCACATAGAGGTGTCGGAGAGTTGAGCGTCGCAGTGAACTTATATGCGACAAAAGTTATCGCTTCTCGCATTCATGGCTTCTTTCGTTCGAAAGCACTGTTCATTAATCATCGCCGGTCGTAGATGCCGAGAGGGGTGTTAGAAAAGTTTGCCGTGCAAGAGCTGACCTCAAGTCTTTATGCTGTCTCCTATTTCTTTTTTTCTCTCAGTTCCATTCTGCCGGTAAAAAAATGTCCAAAAAAGGAGCAACATTGCTCGCAACGTCCGAAATCTGCGTGCGGCGCTCGCCGCAGTCTACAATAAATCGTCGCATGTAAACTGCAGTGGAGCAAACACGCACCTATATACTTTAGAATGTCTTTCTTAAAATTTTTTTCTCCCTTTGTATATGCATATTTTTATTGCGACTGTGTTGGAAGTGTTCATTGTCAAAGGAGAAGGCTTTGAAATACGTTCACTATATGTGGACTCGGTTTCAAAGGGTAGCATAAGAAAATTGTTTGTGCACCCAAATACGATCGTTATAATCGATAGATCATTATATCTGGGATCGTTGTAAGTGGGTTGGACTGTATTTACACCGTATGAAAAATGTTGCAATTGGCGTAAGCCTACTCTTTTCTTTAGCAAAGAGTTTCTTATTTTGATTGCTAGAATGGCTACTTGCCAAACTACCGTATTTACTCGAATGTAACGCAAGTTTTTTTTTCAAAATCTCTCTGAAGTGATTTGGGGGTCCGCGTTGTAATCGAAGCACCTCAAATCGTGCCTTGGCGGTGCCGCCCCGCTGGTTCCTTAAAATGGCTACGACAAACCTAGCGATCTTTCAACCTTGTGCTGGCAACATATGCACGCTGGCAACATCGAATCCAATCCAATCCAATCGTTCGCAACTTGTTTTGCGGGCGGTTCATTTCCTTTGTGCTTCCGCGACTTCGGCTCGAGCAAACGGCAGCGCGACGAGTTCAGTACGATGCCCACTTTAAGAGAAGTGCAATACTGATGGCTGAGGAAATCGGGAACTCAGCCGCGGCTTCACAGCTAGATGTGGCGGAATCTACTATCCGTGGGTGGAGGCTCCAGCTTGAAGCGCTCTTCAAAAGTGAGCCCGGCCAAAAAGGCTTCCGTGGACCTCGTTGTGGCCGTCACACAGAACTCGAAAAAAAAGTGGCGGAGTTCGTGACTGAGCAGCGAAATCGCCTATTGGGGGTCAATGTTGACCTGATTCAGTGGAAAGCCCGAGACGTAGCTCGAGAGATGGGGATCCCGTGGGAGAACTTTAAGGCTTCACGTGGATGGGCACAAAATTTCATGCGAAGAAATGAATTTTCCCTCCGGCGAACAACGTCGATAAGGCAGAAGCTACCAGCAGATTGCTAAGCGAAGCTAGTGGAGTTTCAGCGCTATGTGCTCGACCTGCGCCGCTCGTCGCAAATGCCGTTGGGGCACATTGGCAACGCGGACCAGACTCCCGTTTTCTTGGACATGCCTATGTCAAGGACTGTCAGCGAAACAGGTGCCCCCCAAGTTCGCATAAGGACAACAGGCAACGAGAAGACACGGCTAACCGTGATGCTAGCCTGCTTGGCGGATGGGCGCAAGTTGCCGCCATACATCATTTTCCGGCGCAAAACCATCCCGAAGGAGCTGTTCCCCAGGGATGTGATTGTTCGCTGCCAAGAAAAAGGTTGGATGGGCACTCCTGTAGCGAGAGAGAAAGACGGAACGGCGGCCAACGTAGTCGTGTCCTTCTCTCGCCACTTTATTCCACGCCTGAAGCGGAGCCTCGTGGCTTTCCACGTCCGATACGCCAAGTGCGGTAGCTTGTTCTAATCCTCGCGCAGCTCGAGCTAGCATCAGCTGCGCGAGAGGCGCGGCGCGGTGATCAAGAAATGATGATGGTGATGATGGCACCACACTCCGCTTATGCTTGACTGGGTCAAGACTGTGTGGTGCCTACGGCCAGGTGCACTCCTCCACTCCGCCTCCATCCTAGTTCTCGACTCATTTCGCGGTCACCTGACGCCCGAAGTGAAGAAGCTGATGCGGGAAACTCAGACGCAGCTCGCTGTTATTCCCGGAGGTATGACGTCCGTGCTGCAGCCATTAGACGTCTGCCTGAAGAAACCATTTAAGGATAGAATGTGGCAGCTGTACGGAGAATGGATGCGAGAAGATCGGGCTTTGACACCTACGGGTAGGATAAAGCGACCTAGCGCCGCGAAGATTGCCGAGTGGGTGTCCGCCGCACGACATGATAGTTCGCCCATTTAAAAAGTGCTGTATATTGAACTATATGTGGATGGCACGGAGGATGACCTCATCTGGGAGGAAGAAAGTGACAAAGAGGGCTCGACCACCGGCGATGAAAGCGACGAATGAACAAAACTCACTTTATATTTAGAAACTGGGATGTCTTTGCCACTATCATGTGCAGCAAATAAAGGTACTTTTTTCCCCCGCTTTACTCGCGTTACATTCATGGTTTTTTTTTTTTTTTTCTGCACTGAAAAGTCACTCCTCGCGTTACAATCGTGGTCGCGTTACATTCGAGTAAATACGGTACATTTCGTTTCGCTTTGTTATACAAGTTTCTCGTTCGTTTCTTTCTACTATTCCCATGCCCATATGTACTTTTCTTTTTAGCCACTTCCTGTATGGGCCTATGCAAAGGCCTACAGTGTTGTTAGGTAAATAAAAAAATAACGTAGACAATCAATGGAATCGAAAAGAATTTGAAATCCCCAGACACTGAGGTGAATGGAGCTCATACACAAAAAAATACTCACATCTTCCTCGACGGCCAGGAGCCGCACAATGTTCTCATGGTTGACAATCTTGAGAACCTCAAACTCGCGCATCTGCACCTCGAGAGGCCGCAGCTGGCTGACCTGGTTGAATGTCTTCACGGCCACTGGCTCACCCGTTTGCTGCAGCGACAAACCAGAAACCGAGGTTAGGAAGACGAAACAAGGAACAGAGATTACATCCGTGAACGTGTTATAACAGTGGGAGACTCTGGATTAATTGTGATACCCTGGAGCTTTTTAACATTTTGATGTGTGCAGAAGCGCCTGATGGGGCCTTGCATTAGAAGACGGCGACGCGGGTGTCGATGCACTAGTAAAAATGCCCCAACGTGGCAGGCTTTGGAAGTAGAAGAAAAGGGGGGAAAAGACACAGGACAGGACATTTTGCATTCAATACAATCAGGTGGCCTAGCCTGAGTGAACTTCTAAACCCCTGCGACGGGGTCCACAAGTTGAGGCCATGTGCTTCGCGTGGCTGTTATTCTTCGCCTCTTATGCTTCGCATCCATAAGCTCCACCTTCCTCGACAGCCTTCTCACGCCAACGCTGACAACTTCCACACCACTGTCACATCGCTTATTAACTCTCATCACCACGGCACACTCAGGTGATGACTGCCCAGTGGGTGAGCTTGTGTTGGGCATTCCATTACTTATATTACATTACAGAGTACATTACTTTTTTGCTGTAAGGGGTGCTCATTAGCTAGCTCTTGTCTCTTCTTTGTTTTTATTGCTTGTTCTAGTCTGCGTGTTGAATGTGTGTATAAATTAATGTAGTGCACCAGCTTGAATTGAGTATGAATTTCTCAAATAGGCATCACCAAACCTTAGTATGCTACCTAGAGGCATCAAAGCTACAAGAGTCGAGACCCTCCCGAAGGTGTAAAGGCAAATTGCTGTTGTGTCCATGTTCATATTTCTTATAATTCCTACACCTTGCTTAACCCTTTCGCTATAGTGGGAGAAGGAACCGTTTCTATTAGGCGAAAAAAACCTTTTTTTGTGTGTCAAGATAATAATGCCTCATTCACATTATTTGGTACCAAACTGTATCAAAAAGAATGGTTTGTCCAATAACATAAAAGTATCACATACGTTTATTATACACATCAAGAAAAAATATTTAAAATAAAGAATTTCTGCCTGGATTATACAATTAACACTTTAAAAAGGAGACCAACTTAAAAAATTGAGGTTAAAAAAATTCAGATATACAATTTGCAGTTGCAAAAGGTTGTTCCAAGTTTCAAGAATTACTGCCAAAAACTGTTTTTCCCACAAAAAAAGAAAGTGGGGGTGCTGCCGTAGATGGGTTATTCTGTGCAGCTTGCCATCGCAGACATGGTTGGCCTGCTCCGCGTCGATTACACTTAGAAAGGCAAGGAACGAACAAAAATGGCTTCTGTGCATAATACTAATAAAAATCAGGCTTGAAGATGACTCTCAGGTATTTCAGTAGAGATAAAGGCGAGGTAACTCAATTATTTCCACGTAAATGAGGATTCCAATGCACTTCATTGGAAGTGAAGTTCCTCCACGAAACCCCCTTTTCATGTATGTCTGGCTCTCTAAAACATGTATACATGCATATTTGTTGGTGTAGTTACACATCATGCTGGTCAGTTGTGCAGTGCAAAACAGCTGCATGAAATCGACGACCTGGAAGAAGTGCCGTAAGTTACTTTGAAGTGCGCCTCCGACCCCTGTATTTCTTCTCAAGAGACACTGCACACACTTGACAGATTCCTGCCAAGAATCATGTCCGTAGAACGTTGAGACCCTCAAAATGAGTAAAATTGCTGTGAGTACACACTGCACCGCCAGTAACTACTAATTAGACAACAAAATGTGTGCCACACATACAGCCGGCACTCACTCGCTGAATTTTGCGGCTTGACTTGATGCATCCTTGTCACCGGGGCTGAAATTTGATTTGTCAACATCTTCTCCAGACTCACAGATGCCGATTCCATCCTCAAAATCTGCCAGTGATGCGCTCGATTCATGACAAACGCGTCATCTTGTAGTACTGTCCGCACAAAAAAACGACACGATGATCGGCGCGTACACGTAGCTACCTGAAACTTCTTGAGGCGAGGAAAAAACTTTCCTAAAGCAAAACAAAAAAAAAACAAAAAATAAAACATCATGGATCTCATGGTGTGTTTCCTACTTTCTTGCATAGATGGCGTTAGGTGCTCGCAAACTCCGAGAGCGCGCAAGAGTGAAAACTTGAGAATGCATCATTCAAATTGAACGATTTGAATAGGTGCAGTAGCAAAAAAGTTAAAGACTGCTAATAATGTCTGCATTTTGTTTGGGCTTAATATTACCTGCCAGCTTCGAATGTGTAAGTAACAAAACCAGGCCCCTTCATAATTTTCCTCCAATCTTCTCACTCATAGCAGAGTAAAGGTCCCCAGACTGGCAAGCATTCAGGTAGTGTAAAAGGTGTAAAAGGCTTTATATTGGTCAGCTTCCCTCCCCCAAACTTTACACACTGGTTTAAAACATGCCCATATATCTTTGCATACAAGAAAAGAACCCGGGGTGATAGTTACAGCCTGGCAAAGTACCACAGTCGGTGCAGAGGCAGCTGGGTGGGCTCAGACTCATCAGAACTTGTTTTTTTCGTGGTCGTTTTCATCCACACTTTTAAACTCTCATCCTGAAAAAGTGTAGGGGCACCCACCTATGACACTGCATTTTAACTTTTATTGGGCAGTGCAGCCAAAGTTTCTTCAGGAGTGCGCAATTCTTTTCAAAATTTAAGGCAGGTTTTTCGTACTACTGCCTGTTTAATGGATAGCAACAATTAATACACCCAGTAATGCAGGAAGAAGTGCACTTAATAAAGCCTTCTGCTTGCTAGCTGTCAATAACCGGCTAATCACGGCTTCCTACAGGAATTTGCCAAACGCCTTCAGAGGATGGCCGCTAGCAGCCTGTCGCCAGCCGCTGTTGGAAAACATTGGTGTTTATGATTAGGTCATCTGTGCTCTCTGCTCGTGAAATTCATGCACTGCACACAACAACATAATTTGGATAAGAAGGACGCAGCTTCATCTTTTATCTGTGAAATGCATTGCTATAGCAAGCCGAAGGTTTGCTACAGGGCCCCTTTATATGATAGGTGTGGAAAGGGCACGGCTAGAGCTTTGCCACAGGAAACTTCCTCAATGTGTTTCTCATACCTGTCTATTCCAACATGATTGTAACTCGAAGTCAATAAAACTCCCGGTTCCTTTCATTCAGAACACACCTTGTGGACACCTCGATAGACAGCTCCGGTGGCACCCTTTCCAAGCACGTCCCTGGTGTTCCAGACATAATTCGGTGAGCCCCGCAGGTACGACATGGCCACACTGTGAAGTTAGTCCTGCACAAAAGCAAAATATTGCGGAAATCACACAAACGAGCACCAACAACAGAACTCGTACAAATTGTTCAGACATTGTTCAGAGTTTCACGTCCTGCAGGATGACGACCGAGGGAAGCGAACAAACCCCATTCGCGAATGTACATTTGGCTCAAGGTTGTTTAATTAGCTCCCACATTTTAGTACACAGACATTTCGAAGAACTCATCCCTGACATCAACAGGGCTCAATCTGATAAACCTCAAAACGGCAGCAGAATAAATAAATAAGTAAATACCACAGGCAGCGCACCACTTCAGCTGGTTTCACTTGTTTACATTAAAGCACCCCAATAACACCTATCAGCAAGCATGTTTTTCAAATGATGTACACTAATAGATGAGATAGGTGACGAGATAGCAAAGAAGTGCCTGCCCTCAGATATGCTCACTCACTGCAGTGCCTTTCATTTGGCAGCAAAAAAACTTGCTTGCCTCATTGTCTACCAAACTTTTCCACTCTCAGGCAAACTTATGCTCCCCCACAAAATGAATTTTTAGAGAAAAATTTCCAACAATGCTACCGAGTGTTCCACCTCTTGGTTCAGGTTTAACAGTTTATGGGCTCTGGCACGCATCAGCATCAGCCTATCCTCTTTCCAGAGTAATGAAGGCATATCTGGTTTATTCAATTCTCTCTGCCCAGCAAGAGGCGATTTCATTATTATATGCCTGAGAGCTTTTCTATTTCACGACCCCAGCTTACTCTCTGCTGCCCGTGACTGTGTTTCCTATTCCTTGAAGGCAAATAAATTTAACAGTGAAAGGTCAGTGCTTAAGAACCTCTACATTGAAGAAATTCTCCCCAGATCAGGTCCAGTCGCAATCAAAGGCAGTCGTGTGAGATCAGTATTAGCCTCTCAGTTGTTAAAGTGTGTTAAGTTGGTTTGAAGGTAATTGTGAATGCTTACTGATCTAGTGTGTTTACACACCGTTCGGCTTCTTAGCCCTGCCACAGCTGCAGTGGCCACAAATAACTACATCCTGCCATGGTGGTGTATCCGTTTTGGTGCTTGCAAGACCCGAAAGCCATGGGTTTGCTCCCGGCAGCAACAATCGCAGTGCGATGAAGGCGAAATGTTAAGAGGCACTGTGCGATGTCACAGCATGTTAAAGAACACCACATGGTCAAAATTTATGAAGCCCTCTACCGTAGCATGCCTCTATTTATATTGTGGTTCTGGCATGTGAAACAAAAGATATTATTACAAACAACTCCACACAACCACATTTCTTATGTATCCAGCAGTACTCTTTTAACACAGGAAAAATTGTGCTAAAATAGAAAAGGATGCCACAAAGAAAGAACACTAAACAGATCGAGCGCAAGCTACTAACTGTTTTTATTTGACTGCAGAGCATCGGTTAAATAAGGAAATCGTCCGTAGCTGCCCAGACGTGCCGAGGAACATCACGTGCTAATGCACCTTTTTCATCAAAAAAAGATACTTCTGCACCATAGAGCGACACCGAGGCCTCACTTACACAACTATCACTTTTCATGTTGATGAAGAACGCTTCCAAAGCCGCACGCGTATTTTTACTATGCCCCAGTATTCTAGCAAAAGTGATGCGATAAGCCAGATGCCCAACAACGATGAACGTGTTAACAGCAAAGAAGGGATGTCCATGCGAATCGTTCAAAAGACCAACAGCAAAGTGCACAGTGTGGAAGGCACAGCAATTTTTAATAGCTAGTCCATAGATTACAGCAATTGAAGTGTTCCTGAAATACACTTTCCTTTTATTAAGGTTTCAGTTTCGAAACTAATATGGTCTGGTAAGTGCCCCGATATTACTAGTGGTTATGCACGGATGGAAGTCATTGTCCTGGAGTATAAACGACCAAAACAAAAACGACATTACTCTTAGCCAAGGTGCTGGCATAGGATTTTCACAATCCTGTATACTGCCAAATGAACAAATATACCGTTTGTAAGCGAGAACAATATTGAATGTTCTGCTCAAGAAAACGCTACAAAACTTAAGCTTGCTTATTTTGGTCATGTGACAGCAGCCACCAGTTGAATGGAGCGGAAATTAATGTTAGCTTATAAGAGGCAACGTAAAACAAGGCAGATCATGCATGCACAATGGTTGGATGGTATATTCTAGATTAATGCCAAGACGAGCTTAATGATGATAATTATTTATGGGGTTTAATGTCCCAAAACGATCACAAGTTTAAATAACTTGAATTTGATAGGTCTGATGGCAGTCATTTAGTCATTGGGATGACTTGATGTCACACAAGCAGGAAGAGGTACGTATTACTTAAATTTTTTTGTGCTTACATATGTATCAGTTTGAAAACTATTTCGTAATGATAACTTGCAAGCGTTGTACTTTTTCAAAACTTGTGATGACGCATATATATATATATATATATATATATATATATATATATATATATATATCATCTTAAATCTTTTGAGCGCAATACCAACTTGCAGAATAAACAGTCGATACAGTTTGCATCGAATGTCCTTATCTGTCCTCGGCATTTACCTTCAACACTCCCCTTGTCACAAAGAAAAAAAAAAAAGAAACTTGATATCACCAAGTGTAGCGACGTGTACGAGGTCAGTTGGCGCAGGCTTCTTCTTTACATTTTTCCCGAAGTGCAAGGCAGCTGCTGAGATTCGGCAACTGTCAAAAGCCTTTAAAACCGATCACGCCAGTGCCAATATCGCAACTGGAATTCGCATTACGTCATGCGATCACACGCGAATGGCAGCAAGGGCGGCCGATACGATAAACAGCACCTAATTAGCGGAAAATCTTGCCCGGACTATTGGCACTCCGACGAATCGAAAAAGAGACTTCGACGTTGGTTGTCGAAAACTTCTCGATCGTGCAAGCACGTTGGAATCATATCGAGGGGCGATGTTTACAACACATTCGAAAGGCATTTTCTAAACTTGTTCCTCTTTTTTTCTATCGCATTTTGACATTTCCTCGCTTAAAAACCTTCCGCACAAGGGCTGAAGTGTGATAGCAATGACACTTCGCACTAACTTAGATGTCGAATTTGATTACAGGGACGGACGTCATAACAAGCACAGCTTAGTGCGAAACCACAGCTTAGTCAGCTGATTGCGTTGGGCAGAAAAGAGAAATCCGAGCTTCGCGTAAGACAGGATTGGCAAACAATGAGTGCTTTACGACAGCGAACGCACACGGATCGGCGACACCGGTGTTTCTGTCGATAAACGTGCCGATCGGAGTCGCGCGCTTGATAAACAAAACACGGCGGGCCCCTTTGCGTCACATTGTGCAATGACGCAAAAAGCGTGCCACTTCCGCCACCAGCTACACTACCTGCTCACGCTGCAACACCTAGCTGCAACTCACCGGACAGGGCGGACTGATTGCGGCCACCTGTCAACCGATGCCGGGCGTCCGCGCAGTCACATCGACGGCGGCCACATACGCTCGTGAAGTCGATGGAACCAGGAATTTAGCGCGATTAAATCCACGTCGGAGCGAGCGAACTTGCCGTCGTCTAAAATCAACAAACAGAGAACAAGTGCAACAACATAAAACAACAAAAACGAAACTTTTTAACCCCAATGTACCCAGACTTTTTCATCTGTTCAGTCAAACTTTTACTTTAGGTAATAGTGTTTACTGTTGACAATTATTTATTTAAAAAATTATATCTTTGATAATCAAGCCTGTAAACGTTCAATCAAAAATAATTTGCCCAACAAGGTCTTGATGCACTCGATAGCGAGAACAGAACGACGACCCAGAGACAAGAAGGACACTTCTTGTCTCTGTGTAGTCGTTCTGCGAGAACTACAACTGTCGTCATGTCATACCACACAACACCTACCAGTTGGTCCTACCAACTAGCCCAAGCTACCACACTTTAATGCACTCGTTCGTCCCCGCTCCGTTCAGAGTGGAGACAAGCATATAGACAAGCGCGTCGTTGGCATCGTCTGCTACAGCAGTCGCCATTACTTGGTTCACTCCTCAGTGCGCGCACTCCAAGCGCGCGGCTTCGCCGCCTTTTGCTCTCGAGTAAAGAAACTTTGTCCTGGAATTGACTTCACAAATGCAAGATCGTTCACGAATATTGCTGGTTGCGAGTTTGTAAACGAATGTTTCGCGCCTGAAGGTGTTGCAGAACTGGCGGCGCGGTCACTCGGATGCTGGCTACGGCTGAGTGATGCACAGCTGCCGACGTCAATCTGCGGAAGAATATGTTTGAGTTTTTTTTTTTTTTTTAAGACATGGCAGGTTAGTTTTATCAAGGCAAGTTAGAGATGCGGAACACTGTTTTAGAAAACAATAATAAAAAGCTATGATTCCCTGGACTGTCGAAACGAAAAGCGGTGCAATAATGCACCTACCATTATGGCACTGAATATATGCTTTCATGAACGTCCGACGTTATTCAAGCTCGAATTCTCGAAGTTCGACACACAGTATTTAGACGCGCGCTCTAAATGTTCCCGTCTTTCTTGACATACAACATAATGTGGTGCAATTTTATACGCATTTTAAATTCGGACAGAGGCGTTCCGTTCGTTACGTCAAAAAGTCATAATTTTGACTTCAAAATGCTCAACTATTATTTCTCACTATTAAAATGTGCTGGCACTACTTTTTAAACGTTGAGTAAGTAATACGGCACAATCAAAACGTAAGTTTTTTTGCTATGAAATGACACTCATTTAGACGGATGTTCAGTATTGGAGCTACGTATAATTTTGTTTCAATCAATTACTCTACTCATGTCTCCACCACTATCCAAATATAAATGTCGCGACATTTCTTTCCTCCATGTGGCGCGACCAAATGGCTGTGCCGCGACTTTCGAAGTCGTTGGATCAGTCGAGCAAAATCATGGCGGAGGGCACCTCAACCGACAGCCAAGAACAGCAGTGGCTCCTCCGCGTTTCGGAGGCTCAGCGCGCGATTGTGCTCGCCTTCATGGAGGAGCATCCCCAGCTCGCGGCGAAAGCCATCGAGCTTGGGCACGGCTTCACCGACCCGGGGCGGCTGTGGCAGGAGCTGAGTGACGCGCTCAACCGTGAAGGGCCTGCCCACAAAAAACCGGACGAGTGGCAGGCCTGGTGGGGCAGGCAAGTGCACGAGGCCCGCCGTGACGCCGCCGCCATCAAAGAGGCGCAAACGTGAGTGACCGTCGAATGGTGCGGGCGATTTGTTCTTTGACATTGGTGTTTATTTCCAGGGGCACTGGAGGAGGTCGGCTGCCTAGTTTCCGCGGCCAGATTCTGCAGTTAACAGGGATGGCACGCTTCAGTGGCGTCACTGGCCTCCCCTATCAAGAGGTAAGCACTCTGCCGCCGCAGTATCGCGGGTTCCTAAGCGATGCCAAAAAAAAAAAAAAAAAAAAAAGTATGCCCATACCTGTAAGTGGTATCTTTAGCGAAACCTTGTTGAAGAGGAAGGCAGCGCTGGAGAAAGTATTCAAAAGTAGGTAGATTAATCAAGTAAACTCTCAGTTTGCAGCCCTTGCAGTAAAAGGGGTATTTATTTATCATAACAGACACGCAACGCCTGTAAGCGAGTGCGTGGCAGGCACTAAAATGGTATCATTGATCACTGAATAACTGCAGAACATTCCCGCAGATGTTTAGTACGTAAGGTTGTAAAATAGCCAGAGTAACGATTAGTCACATTGTAAAGCGTCACGCTTACGACCCTTTCCAGCAGGCGGATGTTCCCACTGCTTTGATGGAGGAAGAGGCCACTGAAGCGGCTGTAGGTGGCAGCAACATAGTGACACGTAAGCATCTGAGAACTAAGTGTTTTAATAATCACGGGACGTATGTGCCCCCAGTTTGTGAACTTTTCATCTTTACTCCACAGAAACCCCATGTAATGCTCAGAGGCTGCCCGCTGCACCGGATAAGTTATTGATCCTCAATGTGTTAAAAGAAAATAACCTCTCGTATGTTATCCAACTAGCCCACTAAGCCACAACATGGTCATACCCTTTAAGTGTGCCACAGCATGCAGTGAAACTAGAAAATTCTGCATGTTTTCAGTGTCTCGGCCTCCTGTGCGGCCACGCCGCCATCCTAGGCCACGGCGTACAGACTCCCTGCTGCGCATGGCCTCCCAGTGCGACTGGAGCCTTGACCAGGGTGACGAGGCACTCGAGGTGAATAGACCCTTTGTTTACATTTCACATAAAGAGCGTAAACATTCTTTATGCTCTGTTATGATATGTTATGATAACTGAAACCGACTTGGGCTATGAATAAGAACCATGCATTGTATTGTCATGTCACTCCAGGGGGTGTCGACAAGGTTTATGGACGTCTGAGCAACAGGGCTCTAACGAAGTGCATCGGTTGGGCTTGTTTGCCAGAGCGGAGGCCCACGTGCACTTCTTTCTTCTCTGTGGTGTGAGCCTTCACCTTGGCATACGACCCACTACTAGAAGTAGGTGGCAATATTCCTCCTCAACAACAACAAAAAAAAAGAGCATCGTCCCGATGCTGTAAAGTTATTGCAAAAAAAACCAAAACAAAGTAGTTTAAACAGTGAAAAGGGCACCAATAATCAAATGTTAGACGCGATAAGTTCACCAATGATGAGGCAATTGTCGGAGCACAAATAAAAAAAAAACACAGGAAAAGTGGTCTTTTAGGAACGCGCAAAATAAGGCTTCATGCGCACCACGTGAACTATGTCAGAGGCCGGTTGTTTTCGTTGTACCCATCGTGACGACGTAGTGTCCGGAACCACTTCGTAGTTTACGTCGCTCACGCGACGTAATACTTCATACGGACCGAAGTATCTGCTGAGCAACTTTTCGGAGAAGCCACGGTGTCGAACAGTGGTCCAAACCCAAACTTGGTCTCCCGGACTGTAAGATACGTCATTGTGACGCATATTGTAACGTCGTGCATCGACTTGTTGCTGCTGATCAATGTGTAGCCGGGCGAGCTGGCGAGTTTCCTCGGCACGCTCTGCAAATTCTTCTGGGTCAGTTGTTAATTGATCGGCGTCTTCACAAGGAAGAGGGATCACGAATTCGTGATCCCTCTTCGAAAACATTCCCTCTTCGAAAACATTCGTGATCCAGAGGGATCACGAATGTTTACCTACCAGCAAAGGGCATGGCGGTCCGTCACCACTTTAAATGGATGACCATAGAGGTATGGGCGAAACTTGGTGATCGCCCACACTACTGCGAGACTCTCTTTTTCTGTGGTCGTGTAATTCACCTCGGTACGGGAGAGTGAGCGGCTGGCATAGGCTATGACTCATTCTTTGCCGTGTTGATGCTGGACGAGCACTACGCCGAGGCCGATGTTACTGGCGTCAGTGTGCACCTCTGCGTCAGCATCATCGTCAAAATGCGCAAGAACAGGGGCTGACTGCATCCGCTGTCGTAGCTCGGCAAAAGCAGCCTGTTGCTCAGTAGCCCATACAAACGGTGTGTCGTCGCGTGTAAGGCGAGTCAAGGGTTCCGCTATCTTCGAAAACCCTCTAATAAATCGTCGATAGTAGGCGCACAAGCCCAGAAAGCGCCGAACAGTCTTTTTGTCTGTAGGATGCGGAAATGTGGCTACAGCGGCAAGTTTGTCGGGGTCGGGTCGGACTCCTTTGGTGTTGACTACATGGCCAAGGAATTTGAGCTCTTCATAACCAAAGTGACACTTCTGCGGTTTGAGTGTAAGATCTGCTGATTAAATAGCCTGTAGCACACTCCTGAGGCGGTGAAGATGTTGCTGGAAGGTTTCAGAAAAAACGACAACATCATCAAGGTATACGAGACAAGTTTGCCACTTCAGACCAGTAAGCACAGTGTCCATCATTCGCTGGAAGGTTGCGGGCGCTGAGCACAAACCAAAAGGAAGGACTCGAAATTCATACAAGCCATCAGGGGTCACAAACGCCGTTTTCTCGCGGTCTCGCTCGTCAACCTCAATCTGCCAGTACCCGCTTTTTAAACCCAAAGAGGAAAAATAGTGGGCGCGGCGTAATCTGTCTAACGAGTCGTCGATGCGTGGCAGCGGGTACACATCCTTTTTAGTCAGGCTGTTCAGCTTCCGGTAATCGACGCAAAAACGTAGCGTTCCGTATTTCTTTTTCACTAGGACGACCGGAGAGGACCACGCACTGTTGGAAGGTTCGATGATGCCGTCGTCAAGCATTTCTCGAACTTGCGTACGAATGGCTTCTCGTTCCTTCGCTGACACACGATAAGGCTGTTGGTGTACTGGGCGGGCGTCGTCGTAAGTGATGATTCTGTGCCTAGTGATCGAAGTCTGGTGCACCTTAGAGGAAGCAGCGAGGCATGACTTGAATTCAAGCAAGAGTTTTTGCAGTGCTGTATGGTTTTCTGGTGTGAGGTTAGAATTAATATCGATATTGTTTAGAGACTTATCGGCGGCCTCCACTGCGTCCGACGAGAAGCAGATGGGAACGGTTCCTAATTCATCTGCAAATGCTAACGAAGTGCTACGGAAAAGGTGTCGGTGTTCGTTGCTGAAATTTGTAACGAGCAGTTGAGATCGGCCATCACGTAGCTGTATGA